TGTACAAGGGATGAGACATCTATTGCCCTGGCACCCTGGCTGCTGCTGTAGCAAAGCAGGTATTGAGGGACAGCTCATCCCATGGTTGCACAAGATTCCTCCTGTTCCACATATTTAGCTTTGCTGACGGTGTTTCTTGTACAGTAAAGGACACTGTACAGGAATTTCTATTTCTTGAACAGAAGCTGGTTCTCTTTTTCCTTGACCAGGTGTTGACATGATTTCTATCAGTCAGCAAACACCTCTTAATCTGCCTGTGATGCTGGCAGTGATGCAGGCTGCTTTATCTTCTCTCAGATGCATCACAGGTGTTGGGATAACAGTGATATTTCCATTATGAGAGCTTTCACTGAGTGGTGTTTAAATAACTAGCATTGGAAATAAGGCAGGATGAGAAGCTGGAGGGATTACTGGGGAAGAAGCTGCCATGGCTTCTAAAACACACCCCCCACCTGGGGAAGTGTCTGAGCTGAGGACTGGGAGAAGCTTGCAAAATCACCTTGCACATTTGCCCTTTTCTTACTTTTTTCCCCTAACCCTCATGTATTGCTTTCCACTGCATTCAGGAAACTGAGCTAGAGATACCCTTGCTGTGAGCCAAGGCATCTGGCCTGTTACCTCTTGACTAGCACTGGCTCAGGAACAGGGTGACCAGGAAGCTGAAAACTGAGAAGAGTGAACCCCAAGAAGTGACTTCTTACAGTGCTCCCCACAGCATGACAGTGCCTGCCCAAGCTCAGGCACAAAAGCTGCTGGCAACTCTTTTGCACTGCACCCTCCACAAGCTGAAATAGATAGAACTAACTTCCTTTCAGAGACACAGAAACCAACTTACCTTGTGAAGAAATGGACCAGCAATACCTTGATTCACACAGATCTGTTAGCAGCAGGATTTCCAGATGCCTCTGTGGTAGTCTGAAACTGGCTGTGATGTTGGAGTGGTTCATACATTATCTGTTGGAAGGTTGAGTTGTATGTAATCCTGTTTTGCTAGATTACTCATACAGGGTTTGGAGGAAGTTGTCCAGGGGTGGAGCCAAGACCTGTGTTTTTCCAGAGGTCTTTTGCAAGGCCATGGGCAGGGTTATGGTGCTCAGTAGGCTCCCCTGTCCCATTCAACAGTTTGATGAGAATTTTCCAGGTGTCTTGGCAACTGAAACTTATTTTTGCACTTAGTGGCATTTCTGAGGACCTTGAATCAAGTCTTCCGTGCACCTGTGAGCCAGTCCCAGTCAGTGGGCCAAAACAAGACCTCAGATCTACCCTTTCCAGAAGTTGCACCTGGGAGAGTTGCACAAACCCAAGTGCCAGCTGCTTGGTGCAGGCTGTAAGCAGCAGGCAGGAATTCCTAAGATAAAGGAGGCTGCAAGATGAGCTGCACAAGTGGTGCCTGGCTGCAGGAGCCACCCCCAGGTCAGGAGAGCATTCTGCACTCAGCATCTTCAGGGCCTCTTGTTCAACCTTTGCCAGACTCCTGTGCTGCAGACAGAGGCATTCAGGCACAACCTGATGCCTGGTGTTGGCTTCTGGCCAGGCAATCATTCATCCTCAAAGAGATGTCCAAGACAGGACAGGAGAATTTACAACCACCAGGATGATTTTTTTTTTAAACCCCAAGACAAAGCCTTTTTTCTTCCAATCAAACATCTCCATTCACCATCAGACATCTCCTTGTGCATCTGTCCCCAAGCCTTCCCACACTTACTGTTCTCCTCAAGCGTCTTTCTCCAGGTTCAACATTTGGCTGGGGCAGCAGGTGAGCACTCCCACCAGCCACTCCAGCAGAGCATCCCGCCAGGTTTTTGGTGACTTTTCAGAGGGCTGACACATTGGCCAGCTCTTCTGAGATCTTTAGACCTAACAGGACCTGGGGGATCATCTTCTAGGAGTGGCAGTCAATAGTAGGACTTACTTTCCTTCCCCTTCCCCTTCCCCTTCCCCTTTTTAACCCCATAATCCCATTTTTACCCCCATAATCCGCCCTTGAACCCCCATAATCCCACCTTTAACCCCCATAATCCCACCCTGGGGACCCCCCCGAATACTTCTGGGCCCCTTTCCCTTCCCCTTTTGCTTCCCCTTCCCCTTCCCTTTCCCTTCCCCTTTCCTTTCCCCTTTCTCTTTCCCCTTTTTTCCTGTATTTCTAGGATGATCCTACAATCCTAGGAATTGTTCAGGTTGGGAGGCAGCTCTCGGGTTCCTCTAGTCCGGAGCCCTGCTAAACCAGGGTCAGCTAGAGCAGGTTGTCCAGGACTGTGTCCAGTGAGTGTCTGAGTATCTCCAGAGATGGAGATTCCACAACCTCTCTGGGCAACCTCAGCCACCTGAGACTGTTGTGTAAAAGGGTATGAGTCTGCAAGGTGGCTGAGGAAAGCCCTCCCAGTGAGTCAGGAGGTCTTCTTGCTATCTGGACTCCTTCTAGAGAGAAATCTAGGGGTGACTGGATCCACTCCTTGACCTAGACCTGGTCAATATTTTCTATCTAAAGCATTACGTGTGTACCCACCAATCAGAGTCAACATTTGGCTTTCTCAGAGACCCAGCAAGGAACTTCACTGAGACTGGTTTGCAAAGTTGCAAAGGTCGGTATTTTATTAAGGCCACAGATATAACATGCTTGGAACTGCTGTTGGCAAATAAACTCACTGTGTTGGCACTAAATTTCTCAGAGCTGGCTAAATAATTAATTAAACTAAAGTATCAATTCCCCAGGGTATCATTCACAAAGCAGAGGAGGGAGCAACTTTGTATCAAGGAGGAGTCCCTGCCGACTCATCTGGAAATAGTTGTGATTCCCTTCTTAAACAACAGTGAATTACAAAAGCTATTTCATACTTCCTGACAATATGGGATGAGGACATACCTGGTGTGCTGATTGGTTCCTAGCAGGCTACAGGGCTATTAATGCAGAGAGGGGGGAGGAAGTAGAATCAACACTGGCCACAGATATGGACTGCTTGTCATCCATGTTGGCACTACTCTGGCTGTCAATCTTTGCCTCTGGCTGTTGTTGGCAAAACCATCTGGGTACAGAACACCCACCCTATCCCAGCAGTCACAGGATTTACTGGGGTGGCAAAAAGTTCCAAATTGGCATGCTCTAAGAATCTTCCAACATATGGACTGGGTTCTGCCTTGGAGAAGCCAGTGGCTTGTCCTTTGCCCCTGCTCATCAGGAAGAGATGAGAGCGCTAACTTAGCCTGTTTCTTTGTCCAAAGCTAAAGCAAGATAAGCACATCAATTTGGGATGACTGGCCAATTTTCCGACCCTAGACTTACACCCTTTCTGAGTAGGTGAAGGTCAAGTCAGCAACACATTATCATTGATATCTAATGAGAAGAGCAAGGACCCCTGATCTGTACATGGGCATGAAGAAAGGGGGAAAAGGGGGAAAAGGCAAAGTCCCTCTTGTCTCAGTGACAAACTCTGATTTCCTTGCTCATGGGCTGTTACCCAAACTGCTCCTCCAAAGTGGCCATGGCAAGGACTCCTCCCTGAGAGCTCTCTCCAAGGACAGGCAGCAAAGCAAACCAGCTGGAGGCTCTGCTGACCTTTTTCTCCCTTTCTTCATTGGAGAAGGTGCTCAGAGAGACAGAGCTGGGAAAGCACTAGAGAAGGAAGCAGGACAGATGCTGCAAAGACATGAGGTGATGATCTTAGAAGTCATGGCTCTCGGGCTTTTTATACCCAGGAATGGATCTTAGTTGCCGGGGACATGCATTGTTAAAGAGAGAAACTGGGCCTCTCCCATACAGGTCGGTCAACCTCTTTTCCAGCTCCCCTAGGCTGAGTTCCTCTACTGCATTCTTGTTGTTCTCAGCAATGACCCCCCAAGCCTTCATTCTGTTGTCATTCTGCTCACAACAGGCACTTGACCAGAAGTGGCTGGGCTTATTAACCCTGTCGGCAAGGTAGTTCCTCCCAGGCACGGTGCCCACGATGACATAGGTGGTTTTACAGTTCTGAGCCATATTTTTCATTGTGGTCAGCTCGTATTTTTTCCAGGCACCTTGGTTGAGTTTTGCAAACTGGGGCGCGATATTGGTGAGGGTGAAGGTAGAATTACAGCTGCTGCTGTCAAAGGTATGGCTGCAGGGGGTCAAGTGTCCACGATGAAAATCACCTGGGTGCTCATAGTCTTCAAGGACAGCCTGGCTATCTTTGAGTAGAGTCTTCTTGACTTTTAAATCATGTAAGACGTACGACTGCGTTTCCATAGTTTTGGGATATTTCAGATCAATCAGCTTGAGAGGTAAAGAAGAGAAGACGTTAGTATTGAGAATGGGAGTCATGGAGCAGGTTTGTCAGAAGGGGGTTTATGTGGCCTCTGCAGGTTGCAGAGCTCTGTGTGTCTGCTGGATCCTTCTGAACCAAGCCTGAGGCAATGGTAGTAAGGGACAACTGCAGCTGGATGGAGATCGTGCACTTCTGACTTTACTGATCCTACTGATTCTACTCACTTCTCACTGCCTGAAATATCACTCAATATATTCCTTGTGTCATTCCAGCTCTCCCATCACTGAGTGCCTGTACATGGAGTTAATCTCTGGGTCATCTCAGTTTGAGTTTATCCACGTTTCTCTCATGCCACTTACAAAGCCAAATTGACCCTTCACTGGGAGCAAAGAAGGTGTGTCAGGGAGGAAAAGCAGCTTAGGATGAAAAAAAGATCAGAGCTCAGCAGAGCTAGTTCTTCAAATGTAGCTGCTTTTGCATGTCTTTTCCCCATAATTTCATTCCCACTATGGAAGGAGGGGAGGGGGAGTTAGGGGGAAGAGCGAAATTTAACTTTGTAATGTAATGTAATATAATGTAGCTTAGTATTCTATAAGGTCAAAGCAGAAAAAAAAAGGGCAGTTTTAGGATATAACTCATGTCATCGTCCTGTTGATGTCTCAGACACATCAGAGGAATCAGCTGGTGGAGTTATTTGAAATTAGGTGAGATAACTGCAACACAATGGGGGGTAGAGGGGAGGAGGAAAAAAAAGTGTTTAGTTAAATGCTGCAGTTCACCTTTTAAGGACCAGAGGGTGACATACTGTAAGAGAGGACACTCACCTGGGGTTCGACCATCCACCTTTGACATCTTTTGGTATGTTTAGGCTGGTAGATATAAGCAGAGTACACAGGAATACGCTCTTTCCTGTCATACAGGGTGGCATAGTAATACTGGTTCTCATAAAGCTGGCAGATCGAGGCTGAGTTTGCAGGAGTCAGGGCTTCATTTGGGGGTGTTTGCCAGAAGAAAAACTGAGGACATTTACTTTGCAAGGATGATGTCACCACCTCGCCATGTCCCAGCCAGAGGCAGCTGGTCAAGACCTGCAGCAGCAACAGCAATATCATTGCTAGGAGGTTCTGCCTGAAGGGCTCTTGCTCACCTGGAAGGCAAATGCAGAGGGACACTCAACTTGGAGAAATCTCATCATGGCCTGAGGTCATTTTTGTGTTTGTGGGACACAGCTGGCAGAGGTGGAGGAATCTGAGAGACCAAGGAGGGGACAACTTCTGCCCTTCCACATCTGTAAAAATAAACTGGGGAGAAAGGTGAAGTGTAAACTAGGATTTAGGTGCCTAGAGGAGGCAGCAGTGGGAGAAGTCAGCTCCTCTGAGGAATGTCCCTAACACTCCCCATGTCTTTTCAGCCACAAAGCAAATCTGTTGAGGAACTGAGGCATGGTGTTGGAACAAGACCACATTTTTTGCCTTACCTGTGCTGGCCAAGAGCTCAATAGGAAGACAGATTGCTGAATTCCAGCACTGTTTGATTTTGGTTTAATCCAGTTTGTTTGTTGGTTTGGTTTGGTTTTGGCTTTGTTGTTGTTGGTTTGGTTTTTTTGTTTGTTTTTTTTTAATTTGCATAGCCCCTGAAGAAAAATAGCTTGAAGCACTCCAGGAAACAGAATTGCCCTGTTTCAGTGTATCATCTCACTCCCTGATTATATTTCATCCCAAAGACAAGGGATTAGCTCATGTGGTGAGCATTTCCCAGCTTCTTCCAGGCTCTTTTGCCCCTAAATGTCATTCCCACATCCTTCAGATCTTTACTTTTCTCTGCTTGAGTTTCTTACCTTAAGTTTCTCACCTTCTCATTCTTCTCTAATATAAAACTTTTAAGAGCAGCAAATTACAGTGCATGCATAAAGTCTCATTTTCTCCTTGAAAGGGGCATGTTACAGGTCAGCAGCTGCAGCCCTTCCTTTCTCTGAAGTATTTATTCTGAAGATAAGAAAGCACTTTAAATATTACAGTAAGTGGTGGAAAAGGAGCAAGAACTTACCTTGAAGCAGCCTCAGAACAAGAAGCTAAACCGTTGGTTCACTCCTGTCCCTTGAGAAACCTTTGTCTGATCCCTCAGGAATCCCACTGCAATATATACCAAATCATGTATCTGCCCCTCCTCATAAAAGGGGAACTCACAGAAAAGTGGGAGTTTCTTCTGGGGTTCAGGGGAAATTTCTTCATGCCTTCCCAGGAATGGGGTGAAATTAGCTACTTGCTGATTGCTCAGCATTTCTCCCAAATGTGCTGACTTGCAGTATCATGTGCCAAAATCAGATACCTGTGCTGGGTGATTTTTATTTCCATTTCCTCATTCTTCTTGGAGCAGTGCTGCTACTGCAGGCCCCTAATCCCCAGGCCACATGTTGCACATCTGACCCTAGATATGTCTAAACACTGAGGGTTCAGTTTCTCTGAACTAGGAAATACTCCCTCCTGGAGAACAGTTCCTTGCACTGGATTTCAGTCCCCGAGCTCTGCCCTCTGGGCCTGATCCTGCTACTTTTTGTCAGGGCAAGAGCTGGGCCATTGAAAGCAGATCTCAAGGTATTGGAACAACAGGATTCCATGAGTCTAGCTAAAACAGCATTTGATGGACATTTCTGAAGAAGAACAGAAAAATACTGAGCTTGGTGCCCAGGCAATCCTTGTTGGACCTCAGCTTTGACCAGAGTGAAAGGTCACGTCATGGCGGAAGTGCTGCTGCTCACAAAAAGTTCTTCTTTACAGAGAAAGGAAAAGGACAGGAGGTCAGCACCGAGGTTCCTCTTTCTTCTCAAAGAACTTAAACTGTCCTCAGTGAAAGAGGAAGCAGCCAAAGCAGACACCAGCTTAGGTGACACAGTAATTATCCAGCTGTGACATCAAGAATGCAATGGAAACAGAGTTTGAGATTTCAAAAAGCCAGATGGAGAAATCCCACGCAGAGCAATTTGCCAGCCTGGAATGGCAGAAGGTTTTCCCATGTAACTGGCATCAAGAAAAGCTACCCTGGGTTACCTCTTAGAGTGGACCTCCAAAACTGTGTACAGTCCTTCTGTGGGCACATTTCCTTCAGAAGTGGAGGAAAACGCATCTAGTTTCGTGGTGAACAAATCAGCAGTAAGAATGAAACCAAACTCTTCCACTTGGCAACAGCTTTCATGGATGTTGGCAAACTTTCCAGAGCATATCCAAGAAATGGACTATAAAAACTGTCCAGGGAAACTGATACAACAAATTGGTTGTAATAACCACAAATAACCAGATGAAGAAGTGAACCTTTCTTCTTATCCCTAGGATCTACAAGGTCATGTTTTTGCAGCCTACAGAAGAGGAGGCTCCGTGGTGACCTTATAGCAACCTTCCAATATCTGAAGGGGGCCTACAAGAAAGCTGGGGTAGGGCTTTTTACATGGGTGTGTAGTGAGATGACAAGGGGCAACGGTTTGAATCTTAAAGTGGGGAAATTCAGGTTGGACATTAGGAAAAAGTTCTTCCTGTGAGGGTGGTGAGATGCTGGAACAGGTTGCCCACGGAGGTTGTGGATATCCCCTCCCTGGAGCTGTCAAGATCAGGTTGGATGGGGCCTTGAGCAACCTGATCTAGCGGGAGGTGTCCCTGCCCATGGAGGGTGTGTGAACTACATGATCTTGAAGGTCCCTTCCAACCAAAACCATCCTATGACTCTATTTTCACCTTTGCCAGGTGTTCAAACCAGCATGAGCTTCACATGAAGGTTGATAAAGTGTCCCAAGCCAGACCAAAGATCTAAAGTGCCTAGCAGAGGCATCAGCTGCTTCTTCTGTCTCTCCCCAGTGTTCCAGAAGAGGTCTAAGGCTACTGGCCACGCTAACTGGCCACCCTCACTGCCATGCTACCAACTGGACATTGCCAACATTCCACCTGAACAACTGGCCACCACTGATCAGCCTGTGGTGCTCCTTCAGCACTATGAACAGAACTGCCTTCACACTGTGAACAAAACAAACTGATACACTCGAATGTCTCTCTATAGATCCCCTTTTCTTGCAAAAATCAGAGCACCAGGAGCAGAGTCATCTCTCCATGAGGACTGTGCCTGGTGCTGAAAGCAGTGTTGTTCATGATGCTTTACGAGTGCAATTTGCTGATTGGTGGTCAGTTGTCCCAGTGACCAGTTGGTGGTGTAGAAGTGTCCACCAACCAGTTGCTTCTTTTCCCCCAGAAATTCCTCCAAAGCAGCTCTGCCATGCAGCTGCCAAACAGATCCAGTGCTCTGGTTGAGTGCTGGTCTTGGTGACAGCAAGAGAAACTGAAAGGTCTTCGGGAGTAGCTTGGATTGGAAAGTATCTCACACCCTGCAGTTGTTACAGAGGTAAAATGGAATCCCAAGACATTAAAGCAACTCTGTAATGTGAACTTTGGAGATTCTCTTCCTTCCACCATGCAGCAATAAAAGCTTCTTCATTAGCTATAGCAACACTCCCATCTGGGCTTTGAGCTTACAGATCAGCTTTTCAGTTTGGAAACTGATCCCTGTTGTGGTTTCATATGGATACACCTGTAAGAGGATGATGTATCTTTACTTATTAACATAACTTGCTTATTAAGCCTCCTTTAATTTCTCTTCCTGGAAGATGGTTGTGTATTAGGGCCCAGGATTTCACCCTGTAGATGGGCTCCCAAATCTTGTTGAGGCTTGACTGGTTTGGAGCTGCTCTGAGATATGATGCCGAGGTGGTGACAGGCATGGGATAAGTGGCTTTGAAAAAATGGGTTTAAGGATTCAAGCTCATTGAGTATGGGAAAGGGGAGGCTGCAGGGCAGCCCACTAGCTGACTACAGCTCCTGCAAAGGCCAAAGGTAAAAAAGTCAAGGTCTTTGCAGTAGAGCCAGACACTATAATCAAGGGCAGCAGCCACAGACTGTCGCTTGGGAGATGCAGGTTGGACAGCAGGATAAAAAAATATCTCCAGGCAGGTAGCACAGCACTGTGACAGGTTGCTGGGAAATGACAAATGACTGATTGCAGAGATGGCTCAAGGCTTAGCTGGATGAAATCACAGCTAAGCCCATTTAGATCTGACAGGGCATCTGCTTCAAGCAGGAGGTTGAATTAGCATCCTTCAGCTGATGTTTATAACTCATATCTCTATGACCCTATAAGTTGCCTGCCTTCCATCCCTGCCCTGACCCAGCACACTCTGTTATTGTCTGGAAAACTCTAACAAGCCAGCAGATGGCCAAATCCCCTGGTCCTGGGAGTCGAACATTAAAGTTTTTCTGCAGTCTTAAGATACAAAAAGCACACCACACAGCTCAGGGAACCAAGAGAAGGGCACATTTCCAGGTCCCTGGTTCACACTCCTCTGGGGAATAGTTGCTCACCAGAGGAGACTAAATCAGCTCAACTACCCCCAAAAGGAGATGATGATTATATCCAATGGTCTATGCTAGAGGTGAACGATTGCCCCACCATGAAAATGTGCTCCAACTGCTCAGAAGCCCCTGGTTGGCTCTCTCTGCAATAAACATTGTGTGTCACTGCACATTAATTATGCCTAGGGTAATTAGCAGTTATGCCAACACACAGATTTCCAGGTACACTGCTGGCTCACTCTGTATTGAAAATAGCTGGTTGATTGTTATGTATGTGAGATGTGATATATGTGAGATGTGATATGTGTGATACATGCAAGATTAGCCCCTTTGCTCAGGGGTTGTGCTTTGGGGCATCTCTGCTGGCCTTGGCATCCTCTGAAGCCCATGGGTGTGGTATGGTAGGGAGGGCCAGTTGCCCACGGTGAGCAACCCCAGTCTTCACTCCATCTCTGAAGTTGTCCACTCCATTTGTTCAGTGCTCACTGCCTCTAGTCAGCAGAGGTGTGATATTGTTGCACGGTAGGAGGGTGGCAGATTCTGCTGAAATATTGGCATAATCTTCTGTTAGATGGCTGAAATTGTGATCTAAGATGGAGCCCTCAGAGATGCTGAAGTTTCTAGGAGATACTTAGTTCTTGTTAAGTATAATCTTTAACTATGAGTTTTGTCAGTGAATCTCTTTGTGACTTTCTTGCCAGTACTGAAAAAAATTCAAACTTCTA